AGTTTTGTTTGCAAAGACGTATTGAGACATTTTACACCCTTGTTAAGAAAAAAAAATACACCATTTTCTCTGTAATATATTTATAAAAAAAGTCTTATGATACGAATAATGAATTTTTGTTTCTCATATCATCTAAAAGCATTTAATGTGTACATAAAAATACATCCACTCAAACACATAAGTGTAATAATTTTCTATACATTGTACGTAGTAATAATATTGTCCGATAGTACCAAAGTCTCCACATCCATGTGAATCAACTAACCATGGTGAAGTTGACTTAGGCTCAGTTAAAGCTATATTTAATAATCTTACTTTGAAACTACAATATCTAATACGAATGATCAAATAAAGACCAGTTTAATTACATTTTTTAAATAATTATACGCTAAAAACGGTCCTAACAATTTCAACGCCTGAGACATATGCACCTTATTTTCCTCCCTAAATACTAATCTGGCTATTCAGTAATAATTATTCAAGTAATAATAAAATAGAATTGAATCAATACATTTCAAAATGAAATGTTGGACTAATATCTAAAAATAATGAATTAACTTAAACTATCAACTCGTTTACTTTTTTCAACTAACTTAATTTTAACGTGTTAAAAAAAATCATTATATTGCACAGCCTTGTTATCTAGTAAAATTAAATTTAAAACATCTGCTTTTTTTATTTAATATTGAATAATTGTTCTAGCTTTTCTTGTTCATTTAATGATATATTTTGTTAGATATTTTTTCAAATAAATTAATAATAGTAATAATGTAAACAGTATTATCATGAATTATTACACGTATATCACCTCGAAAACAATTCACTTATTGGTATTTTCAATGATTTATATTAAATATGTTATTATGTACAATATTAACAATATTATCTTATAAAATATGATTTTTTAGAGTAAGAACCCAAGTATGCAAGTATACATAACTAAATTGAATAAAATATTTTTTAATCATTTCAAGCAAACCCAACTAGTAACATTTATCATTTTTATTGTTCTTAAAAGAAGAATTAAAAAATTGACAGTTGTAATTTATTTCATTATAAAAGGCATTAATCACCAATGGTCAATGCAATCTTGAGGGAGATATTAGGATATAATACCCTCTTATTGAAAACATTCATTATTTTATCAACAATATTTTCAATAAATCAAGTTAGTACAAAAAAATTTCAAAAAAGTTAAAAAAAAAAAATTTACAATTAATAAAAATAATGTAAACTCCCCTCCCCTCCCATATTTTTAGGTAGTAGTCATCATTACGAACTACTTGAGTTTATAAAACCGAATACTTGTTTAATGATTAAAACAGACAATTTGATTTCAATATAGTCATAAAACAGTAAAAATAATAATAAGATAGATAAAAAAACTCATAATTTTGTAAATTTTTAATTTTGCTTTGTTATATGCTTCATGAAATTTAATAAAGCTTATGATTGATGATTCTTAAACAATTAATAAAGTAAAAAATAATTCTATTATAATTCTTGAATATTTATAGCATTGAAATTATAAACAGCTAATACACTGCTTTTACAGAAAAATTAGACTTTTTAATTTTTTTGAGTAATCAATAATTTTATATTTTAAACTGATAGTACTGTTTAAATAAATAATAAAAAAAAATATTTTTCGTTGATATTAAAACATATGATTCATAATTTTTACTATTTATTAATAATAAATAATTTTATGGAATACCTTGACATTTTTGTTTTAAATAACAAAAAAATTGTCTTTATACATTCTTTTTTCAAAAAGCTATAACAGATTTTAATAAAAATACAACTTGAAAAACAGAGACTTTTTACACTACAATAACATTTTTTGTTTAATTTCATTGGCTTTTGCACATAAAAATAAGGCGGGGAACTATTTTTTTTAAAGTGAAGTTAAAAAAGTTCTACTTTTTTATGAATATGTAAGCTTTTAACAGTGTTTATGGACAAGTAAAAATGAACGGAAAATACATAATGTATTATTAAAACCTTAGTAACTAATAAATCAATATTTATAGTGTAAAAAGCTTAGATCCACATGACAGTGGCGCAACTAGAGTTCAAATCTTGGGGGTGCTACAATTACAAATCACATAAACATTACATATTTACTAATTATTTACAGTAATTACTAATTAGTATTAGTTATGTAATATATAATTATAAAATATAATAGAGATTTTGTTACTTACAGTCCTTATAACAATTTCAATTGGTATATACAAATAATTTATTTACAATTGTTGTTTAAAGTATTAAGTATATTTTTGTGTTCAATTATGCGTCATGGTAAACTTCGTTGGTTTGTTATATGCAAGTATAAGTAGTTTAATAATTACGTCTTTTCGTATATTAAGTCGTACTATCTTTTTTATATTTTGTTTTTTGATAATATTGTTACTATCAACATACGCTTTAAAACATTAGCTAGTTTTTTCTTCCACTTGTTAGAGACTAACCTCTAGTGGCTTACTTTGAAGAATATAACCCCGAGTACTTTTTCTAATATGTCTTCTCCTGATGCAACCAATGCAACTTCAAAAAAAGTTGCTGTCCCGTTCTGGTGTTAGTACGAGATCTTCAAGTACTACTTCTAATGAAGATTTAATGCAAATTATTTTATTCTTTAAAACTGAAGTCCTCGCCTCCAATAAAGCACTTTCTGACTCACAATCTTTGCAGTTCAATACACTTAAAGCAGAAATATTAAAAGTTTCTGAGCAAGTGAGTGAACTCAAAGCAAAGAATATAATACTCAAAAGAAATATTGGTTCACTTAAGGCAAAAATTAGTAGTCTTGAAAAGAACAACTCGTCTGCTAACCCATCCACAATCACTAGGCAGGTTTTGCAAGAACTATTTGAATGAGATCTTTGTTCTTCCAATGTTCTACATGATGAATCCATGATTAAAAATATTTTGTTGCCGGTTAGAAATTATCTTCCAACGAATCTCAAATTGAATCGGATTGGGAAACCACGTCCAGGTATTACCCGCCCACTTAAGCTAATATATACTAACAAAGAGGAAGCACAATTTTTGCTGTACCATACAACCAGGTTAAGCGGTCAGGTACTCAATTCCAAAATGGTTTTAATCTTGTCAAGGATAAAACCAAANAATCTTGTCAAGGATAAAACAAAATTTGAACGACAACTATTACGTGCTTGTCACAATGATCTGTTGTCTCGTACAGCTCAAGGTGAAACAAATCTACGTATATATTATGAAAATTGTGTTCCATCTGTGGTTAAATCAATTCCAAAAAACCAGGTCCGTGAAAACATACCATTCGACAACCAGAGATTCAGCAAATTTCTCAACTTTCATAGTTCAGCCATGTACACTAAGTTTGCATGTGCATGTATATTTTTATAATAAATGCCAAGTCCACTCTTAGTACTTTTATATTAGATTTCTACAATTTTAAAATTAATAAGTCTTGTCCTCGTGATTTACCTACAATTAGCTATACTACGTCGAATGATAATGTTCCGTTTGGTTTTTACCAAAACTGTCGTGGTCTTAGGACTAAATTTTTTACTCTTAAGTGTAATCTTGCCAGGTATAATTATGTATTTCTTGTTTTAACAGAAACCTGTCTTAATTCTGATATATTTGATTCTAAATTATGTTTGGATAATTATAATGTTTACCGATGTGATAAAAGTATTTTAATGAGTAATTGTACTAGAGGTGGTGATGTCCTTATGGTGTATATTTTCCTCCTAACTCTCCTATTCAATCCTATGATACTTATTCTAGCACAATTAAAAATTTAGTTTGTTGTTATAGTACCCATAGTTTTATTCTATATGGTGACTTTAACTTACCTAATATTAATTTGTCTAATGATAATTTAGGTATTTTCTATTCAATGACTACCGAAAACAGCCTATTCCTGAGACTTTTGCTTTCTTAAACTTTTATCAAGTTAATAATGTTTTTAACGTTTACAATTCAATGTTAGATCTTATATTTACAAATAAGAATCTGTTTAACGTTAAAATGGTGCACAATCCAATTGTTCTTGAAGATCGATATTAGCTATAATATCGATATATTAGCTATTGATTACCCAACAAATAAGAGAATCCGTTCTTTCATGCCATTGATTCATATTTTAATTTTATGAAAGCAGATTATACACGTATTTCAGATTTTTTCCTGTCTTATAATTGGTCGGATACTTTTACTCAACTAGACGTTAATTCAGCAACATAAACTTTGTATGATTCATTACACTTCTCTATTCTTCACTGGGTTCCACGTGTTAACAATAATAAATCTAATTTTCCTTGATGGTTTTCTAAGGATTTGATTGATACAGTGTTCCAAAAAAGAAAAGCCCACGCCATTTTTAAGGCAACACGTAATCCACTCGATTACAGAAAGTTTTCTCTACTACGTGCAAAATACAAATTTTTATCGAGAAATTGTTACAGAAAATTTATTGAACAGATTGAAATTAATTTTTGTATTAAACAAAAATTTTTTTGAACTTTGTTAGAAAGAGTAAATCTCAACAGTAAATTCCTAAAACAATTAACTTGAAAGGGTTTACTAGTACTAATATTATAGAAGTTGCTAATTTAATTCTTTTTTCTGTACCTAAACGTAATACCAACTATCTAAAAAACCAGCCATTTTATAGAATGATGAGTATTGCTAATAAGGACCCATCAGCTTTATTATATTATTAATTGTTGTATTTTTGTATTTTATATGATTATTGTACATATAAGTTAAGTTTATTATACTGAAATTTGGTCATGTGCTGTATTGAGAATATAAATAAATATTTGAAATTACAAAGACGTGGAACTTGGTGGTGCTTCAGCATCCTCTAGCACACCCGTAGTTGCGCCACTGCCAAATGACCATTCTCTAATATAAATATTAAATTGTTGTAATGACAAATTTAATAAGAAAATTGTGAAAGGTTACAAATATATAAAAAAATCAAATTAATTGGCCGCAACGAAAAATTTGTAACTTTCATGGCATTTTACAAAATTCTAAGAAAAGGGTCGCCAACCTACTGGGCGAGACAGTGTACTGTCGGACCACAGTAGGATTTTTAAAAAAATTAACTTTTGTATATTAAAACAATTAGAAAAAATATATAATTAATAAATATTAAAGTTGATGTCCGTTGAGTCGTTGATAGTAGATGTACACCAAAACCTCGTGACAGTTGTCACATAACCATTTAGATCAGGGATGACCTTATACAAGGCCGTTGCCCGTACCTTATAAACTAGGGGAGTTGATTTTTGAAAGGAGAAAAAAAATACACGAGTCCATTGAAGATGGAACACGCAAAAAAGAAGAAAAATGTGATGGTTAAGTTATATTAAGGGGACTTTATTAAGTAAAAAAAAAAAAATTAAGTTACTACGAGGCAAAAAACCGAATGGTCAAAAAACCTAGTCTACAAATTAACCCTTATGTGACTGGAAAGGTACCTGGGTACCTTTTCAGTTTTTAAATTTATTTTCCTTCTAAATATTTAGTATGTATGGTTAGTCCTTCTGTGACATCTCTAAATAGCATGTATAGTTAACAAATTTATATTTTGTATTTGAAAAGTATACAATTTATTGTACTTAAAATGGCGTTGTTAATTTTACACCTTATAAGGACGTAGTAGGTACCTGGGTACCTCTATATATTGTATTTAAATATAGGTTTTATTGATACAAAAAGTTAAATTACCATTGATAAATATTTTTACTGGACATCATTAATATAGATACAAATATTAAGAGAACAAAAATATTATTTTTTACATATTTAGTAAGTATTATAACATATTTAGGTGTTTTGTTGATTGCAAGTTTCGCAAAATGATTTGTTTATTGAGTGTTCATTGCAAATAGGCTTTGAGCAAGTTGAACAAGCTTTTCGAGTTTTCCGTTGCTTATAACCTAATTCTCGACATACTAAGCAACTTCCAACTATTTGAATACGTCCTGAAGCATCACGAGGTGGTTCATTTTTAGGAATAGCAATTATCTGTTGTATTGGCCGTCCGAGAACCATTTCCATTGAATTACGAGTATACCGATTTCCTACTACTTTAGGTATGGAGGTTCGAATTTCTATTGCAGGCATACATAACTGATTTGCAAGCTCTTTCAAAAATTTTCGGTGTCGATCAGTTGTGTTAAACCTTTGATTGTGTTCCATATATATAATATATGCAGCTAAAGCAGCAATATCAATCATGTTGAAAAAAAATGCAAGTGGCCAACGATTAGTTCTTCGCTTTACTGTGTATTCTGTTAACATTTTATCCATTGTATCTACTCCTCCTTTTGTCTGATTATAATATTTTATAATTTCTGGTTTAGCGGTAGCAGCTTGCATTATGTCGGCTGTCATATGCATTGTAGATAAAAGAATAACCGATTTATTTATTTTTGGAACATAAGAACAAAGAGTTATATCTTTTTTAAATACAAAATTTGTAGAATGTAAAGCTCTGGCTTTTGATGGAAGCATTTTGGGAGGCAAGAATCTTTTATTTTTTCTGACAGTACCAACCAATGTCATATTCCAAGAGTTTAATGTAGTAGCCAATTGCATACTTGTAAAAAAGTTGTCTGTAGTCACATTTCGTCCAGAACCTTTATACATCGCAACTAAGTCTAGAACTGTACGTTCACCAATATTTACTTGACGTTTACCATCTTGTGGTTTGCCTGTGTAAATTTTACCATGCAAAGGGTAAGCATTTGCTGCATCGCAAGCCCAAAAAACCTTTATTCCATATTTTGCAGGTTTAGATGGAATGTACTGTGTAAATTTTGTGTGTCCTCTGTAAGGAAATAATTGTTCGTCTACTGTTATATTTTCTGTAGGTTTATAATTTTTATGTAAGTTTTGATTGAGCATTGTCCAAATATCACGAATCGGTGCAGCTTTGTCTGTTGTAATACGTATATTACGAGTGTTTACATTATCAAAACGAATAAACCTTAGCAACATTTTGAATCGATCTCGAGACATTGCAGCTCGAATGAGAGGTAACGAGTCTAATTTCCACATTTCTGATACATGTTCTTTATTAGATCTATGTACACCAGATACGAGAAGAATTCCCAAGAATGCATCAAATTCTTCTTCGGTAAATGGTATAAATTTTTTTGTTAGTGGTCGACTAGAAACTGGAAATTTTTCTATTAGTTCTCTATTGTAGTCTTCTGTAACTTGTTGACCTTTTCTTTTGGTTTCTCTCAAAATTATGTCACATATTTCTTTTGACATGATAGATTTAAATATCTCTTTTGCTGTAAATAATGCAGTAGAATTTAATGGTCCAGGTTTTTGACGCAAAATGTTACGAGAAATTGTTTGAGCCTGAGGATATGGTGTATCATACCACTGAGTACCATCTTTACCGACTCTAGGCTCGATATGTATGGATTCATCTTCGCTGCTTTCATCTGAATCAAAGTCTTCACCATACTCAATAACTGGCTCTATTTCTACATCTGATTCTTCAAATTCAATAGCTGCTGGTTCGGGAAAATACTCATCTTCATCAGATACATGATATAGTTCACCTTCAGAATCTGATTCCCCCAATACATTTCTTATTTCATCAGATGGTAATCTTGAAAAAATATAAAACATAATAAAAACTAATAATAGTTAGGTAGGTATATAATATATATATTATCTTGTATACTTATTTGTATGACATCATTATTACATGAAAATTATATTATTTTATTTATATTTCAAATTTAATTATCATATATCTAAATTATAAAATCATATTTTAGAAAAGAACTATATCATTAAAATATTTTATAGTTTCTAAAACGACTCTTTGCACATTACATATGTTTCAAAATGTTGTTTATACTTACCTAGATCTCCTTAGTCTTTCATTACGACGTTGGTTATTAGCCTGACCATCAGCCATATTTAGCATTTATGAATATTATATAATAAATAAAATAAAAATTCAAACAATAATACACACTTTTGAATTAATGTTAATACTGTGTTCACGTCAATGTCAAAAACTAAAATGACGGACATATAAACCGTAACTATATTTTTAAAATGTTCGATATTAATAAAATTATGTCTACTGATAATTCGAATTACATATAATAAGATATAAAAGCGATAAACTGACGACAATGAAATAATTTACCGGAAAAGCACAGATAACTATATTGTAGGTACCCGGGTACCTACACCGTCATAAGAAGTTGTTTTTTTTTTCAGTCACATAAAGGTTAAAGGGGACAAAGAAAGAGAAAAAAAAACAGATATTAATAAAAAAAATAGTTACACCTACACTTTTATTATTAGAGAATACGATGAACGTCTTCGGGTACCCACCGGCTATTAACCGCGGTATTACCGCTAAGCACGGCGGGTATACGTCCCAAGTAAGCGACTGGTTTTTGGCAGTTAGGCTTAGCTTGCAAGACGTTGGGACACCCCGGGATAAAATGCACTACGTCACCACATTGTACTAATAACATATTCATCACCCGATAAAATATAACACAAAACCTATAAAAATATATATATAACAGGTGGTATTGGAACACGCCTGCCATGTCGATGGACCTAAATAAAAATAAGGGCACCTATACAAAAAAAAAAACAACACAAAAAAAATTCGCTACACGTGCTTATGGCACGGCGCACTAAAAAAAACTGGCTCAAAACATTAAAACAAAAATATACATTACCAGCCCCGAAGGGTTAACTAAAATGGAGGCAGGATTAGCCGACGCCATAAATAAAGAATTACATACTAAAAAAAATAACGGACACTCACGAAAAACATATATATAAAAAATTAAAAAGTTGCAACGCACACAACAACAGAAAACTCACGATACGGACGGGAAATAGTGCGACCAGTTCCGACTATGGCTATTCCCCGACAACCCGTCCGGCGTTTGACCCGGCGATCCGTTGGCGACAACACGGCTAGCCTTTGGAGTAGGGGTCAAAAAAAAACTTAATACCCAGTGCCGGAAATTACTAAGAACAATTTAAATCATAAGGCGACAATGTATGCGGTGAGCAGTGCAAATGACGTTCAAGATAGGAAAGGAACAGAGTGAATGTACACACAAATGCCGTCCATTAACCGGTCTGAAGTAGTACACAGCTGACTATCTCGCACGCGCATAAACAAATCACAATACCTTATCATGATAATTTTACTGACAAACGACGTCACAGTCCGCATTCGACTCAAAACAAATATATATATATATATATATATATATACAAGTAGACAAAAATAAAAACTAGATACTTTTGTCACGTTACAATTGTTTACATATTGTCCCAATGAAATAAATAATTATGGTTTAGTAGCAAGTTAGCAAGTAGCAAGTAGCAAAGTTTTTTTACTACTGAAAAATTACAAATATTTTATTGACACTATTTCTAAAAAAAAGTAGTTCGCTTACAATACTACTAAATAAAAAGTAGCGCACTACAGTAACGTCCCTACAACTATTTCCAAGACTGTATAATACATATATAATATATATATATATTATATATATTAATTATATATATATATAATTTATGTTAATATCACATCCTATTTTAAGTCAGGCTGTTAGTATTTATTGAAAACTTAGGTTAATTTGATAGTAAAATTGACAAAAATATGAAGTAAGAAAACGAAAAATTTTATGAAAATTATGATATGTTACCATTAGTTAAACAGTAAAAAGAAAAATCTATTTGTAGTGTATAGACGTTTGCGATCTTTTTAAATTTGACATATTCTTATTAGTTCCTTTTTTTTCTCTTAGTAAAACTGTAAATTGTACAACTACAAATAATTTCATTTTTATTGCTTTACAGTACTTAAAAAAGCTCTAGATTCTTAGCACAACAAATATTAAAAGTTTTATAAATATGTATTTGTCTCTACTGGAGGCTTTGATAATATGATAGCAACCTAGAAAATCTAGAATTATAGTAATACAGAAAATTAACTTAATAAATTACATGCTAGGCTTTATTATTTATTTAAAATAGATAATTAAGATCTTTAACAATTAAACACATATTCATTATTACAAAGATGGCTAGGGTAAATAGACATTTACTGTATATGGAAGATACGGCAAAAAAAATTTTGAGAAGGTATTTTAGCTTCGATACGTATCTGAGAAGGTATTGGTTTTACTAAGATGTGTTTTTTTTGTGTCTGTGACCACTTTTTCTTAGCTCTAACCGAACCGATTTCTTTCAATGATACGTCGAAAGATCACAAATCATGTCTAGTCGAAGACATTACCCTCAAAAATTGAAAGAATTCCCTCGTTTCCCGTAAATGGGGGAAACCTCCAAAAAAATTACAAATTTAAAAATCGCTAATTTTCAAAATTTTATTTACTTGAAATTGCCATAACTTTTTTCAAAATAACAAAATCAATATAATTCTTTTTATAGTTGCATGATGTCTTTACCAATCATTTGGTATATTTTTTTCATAAACCTGACTTTTTACCTGCCTACTGGGAGGGGATTCAAAATGACAACTTCTTTACAAAAAATTTACTTTTTCAACTTAAATTTTGAAAGTGTTCCGGAAAGTCTGACACTTTTATATATATCTTACATTAAAGCTAATGTAATGTACTTTATTATGTAAAAAAAAATTTCGGACTTCATTTTGTCTTCACGATGAAAATGGCTACCGAATACTTTTATTGTGTGAAAATTCTCGATTTTATTTTTTACATTTTTAACTTTATAATGCTATAACTTATTGAAAAGTGTATGGATTAACATAATTTTTCAATGAGAAATACTATTTTTTAATATTTCCTTTTTCATTCGACATACTTTATCTTAATCAGGATATTAATAAGGAACTAGCAGATTATGTAGCTTTTGGAATAATCCACCAATTTTTTAAAATTAAACACTATCTAAAGATTTGCATCGAAGCGTTTATTTTTGATAGTGATTTTAATCACTGTCAGACAGAGGTGTCGTGGAGCGTATACGCGGGTATACGGCGTATACGCACTTCTTTGTTTTTCTGTTATTGCGTATACTTATAAAATCATGAGTGATACGCGGGTATACGGCGTATATCCACTGTTAGTTTTTTTATTAGTGCATATACGTATTTATAAAATAGTTAAAGAGTATAGACTAAAGAATAAAATAAAAAGTAATACGTGGGTATCGAATATAGGTACGTTTGTCATAAAACACAAATTTTGAATAACTCTTATCAGTTTGTTTAATCTCTACAGTCATACCACATATAAACATATATCTGAAGTTATAAACATACAAATATGGCTCGAGACTATTATCATTTTAAAATTAGAATATAAATGTAAAACAAAACACTGTCAAAGTGTATAAATAAATAGGATAATGTTTATCATTTCACGACAATTTTATTGACAAAATTTAAAACATCGATCAGAAATTAACGATATAGCACATACTAAGTTGAAACTGAAAGTTATTGGGTTAACCTATAGCTGTTGAAATTGGTAATTTGTATTTTTCCGTAATAAACCGTTTACCAACCAATCTAGTATTTAATATATTACCTATAATGAATTAAGATAATACTAACATGTACCTATTCACGTTTATTTCATTTATGTTTTAACGATTTGAAAACAATGATTGTAAGATTATTTTATTACTGCATAAAGTTTATTGTTTATTTATAAAAAATATAACAGTATCTAATAATAGACATATCGATTATATGACTATGAAATTTAATTTATGTAAGAACTTAGAAGTGTCAGTAAAAATATTCGAGTAATAGTTTGGAAGTTGGAAGGAGCAACTGGGAGGGTTAGGAGTTTTAGTTGCATTATGTAATAATTAGAAAATACATATTTTTAACACAGTTAAAATATCACAATATTTGTATTCCGTCCCCTAAAACTATGTTATAGTTAAGGCCTTTGAAATGTAGTGTGGGGGTGAAATTCCCTACGTTTCCTCATTTAGGTTTTTAACTTATCTATTTATCAAATTACGACTATATCACTGTTGATAATGTGAAATATTGTATGTAGAAAATGTAAAGTGCAATGGGGGGGGGTGTGTGGGGGGCGGAGCCCCCCACGTTATTCTCTATTCATTATATAGGCGTATACCCATAAACATTTTTAGGACTACACCACTGCTGTCAGATATCATTATACTTGATCCAACTATGCCACGTCACCACTGTGCCGCGACCTCCCTGTGCTGGGTTTTTTTAAATTGAATAAAAAAAAGCCCACCAAACAGGACTGCAATATACTAACTCTAGTAAATACAGAAATAAGATTAAAAAATTACTTTTGGATTATCTTTGAGATAATTCATTAATTCTGCAGCACAACTTTTGTATCTATCCGGAATATCCTTTATTCTCATCTAGCCAAAAACATAAATCATTTAAAAATTTTACACATTTAAGTCAAGTAAATAAAAGTTATAAATAAAGTACAGTACTGTGATAAATTGTCGTTGAGGAATATTTTTAATTAGTATTGATTGATATCTGACAGTGTATAAAATCACTTTTGTAAAACGTATCGATATGTATTTTAAACATGTTTAAAAAAAATTTAAGATTTAAAAGACCAAAAATGAAATTATTTTTGACTAGAGTTTAATTTCTCATAGAGGACAAGTCACTGGAACTTTTTTTCTTTTTTTAATCATATATTACATTATATAAGCTTTATTTGAAGTAATTAAAATGATTTATGTATTCCGTTACTATATAAATAATAACAAAATTGACTAATTTACCAAAGTTGTATGCTTTTTTGCTTTAGTTCTCGATAACTTTAAAAATACGTATAGTATACTTTTCATCTTAAAGTACATTCTATTAAATTTAATTTTGATAAAGGTTAAAAAAGATGTGTTATTTAGAACATTATAAAAATTTAGATTTGAAAAACATGTCGTCATTAATACAACATTTAAAAATATTATTGACAAATATTTCGCAATAATATGCGTAGTTATGAAAAATTTATTTCAATATTAAGTTTTTTGTTTTTATTTATTTGATATGCACTTAGCATATTAATACTTAGCGTGCTTTGGTTTTCAAAATTGTTTTTTTTAATGAAAGTACTCGGTAACGAGACTTAGGAAAAATTATTGGCGAAAGTCGGAAAAATTTTGCCATTCACTCATGTTTTATAATTTTGACCGTTTTCGAAAAAACGCTAACTGACGCCAGCGTTTCACGACTTGAGGTTTAAAATTTTCATCAGACCTGTCCAATAACATTTCTGAAATACCATAAAAAAATCAATTTAATCCGTTCATTTTTACCGCTAAACGAATTTTTTGTTAGTCCACGCACATGGTTTTAATATGGGCATTGACTCTTTTCTGCGTATGTGTTTATTGTGACCCTCAATTTGTAAAATAAGAATTTTTTAAAGATTTAATTTTCTTTTCAATTTATAATAAATAAATGATATTGTTGTCATATATAATCGATTGTTTTAGTTTATTAACTTTGTATTTTTTTATATTATATTTAATATTTTTATATACTATGTTTAGTTAATTAAGCATAACTTTATTAATATATTTACTGTCGATTTCTTTTAAATAAGTTTATAATACAATTTTTTTTATATATTTAATAATGTTTATTGTTATATATATATTTGATTGAACTTTATATTTATAATCAGCTGACTATTTATTGTCCTTTATTCGCTTTGAACTTTTTTTTTTTTTTATGTCCACGCAGAGTTTATATTAGGATACTATTTTTCATTGATGCATAAAACAATAATTTGTATATTTTATCAAGAAACATTAAATTTTATGTATAAATTTCAGGACAGTTTTAAGTATAATAGGTTTGTGCATATATTATCAGAACTGTACAGTATTAATAATTTTATTTTTCTCATATATGATGTATGTGTCTATGAGTTTATCGTAAAAATTGGGATCTTTTTATAACAACTGTGTTGTCCAACGTCAAATCTCAGTAACCAATATTTTTATCAAGATTAAATTTTTTACATTGTCCCAGGTATAATAACTTGCCGAATATTTTTTAATTATTATAAATACAAGTATTATAATTAGAATTTTAGTAATTATTGTTTATACGAGGGGCGTAGTTAAAGGGGAGGAGATATGGGCGATTGCCCTCCTTGAACTCAATGATTCTTTAGGCAATTTCTAAGTAATATGGAACTAATGACATTTTTTTTGATCATCACTTTGATTTTTAGCAAAAAAATTTCTGTAACATTTTAACAAAGTAAAAAAAAATTAAATATCATCTTAAAATAATTTTTGAATACGCCCAAGGGGATTATTTCATTAACAAGCGTCAACATTATACCCAATGCACTATATTCTCTTTCTGAATTTTCCTGGTTTTAATAGTTAAATTTTTAATATATTTTTGTTCTTTTGATTCTGATGTAATATTTTTCTTACAAAACTCATATTGTGACGGGCGTAGCCGGGTACTCTTAACGGAATCAGTGGCCGTAAAGCTCATAGAGCCCCGAGTTTGGGACGGAGACCCAGCTAGGCGGAGCCTAGTTATTACTTATTTATATTACAATGATTAATAATCTTAAATTATTTTTAATTTAAAAATTCAAGCAAGTCAATTATACGATATAAAATAACTAGAGCTATGGTGAAATTTCGTTATATGATCTAATTATAAATTATTAAGTTAAAATTACATGGATAATTTGTGTTGACAAAATATTTTGATAAATATTGAGTTATTCGTGTATATAGAGATCAAAGAGACAAAATTGATCTGGGGATAATTGATTTATTTAAACAACTATAATAATATAGTTGTGTAATAAAACTGTTTATAAAGAGTACTAAATTTATAGAAATTTACTCAAAATAATGTTCATTATACTTATTAGTTTTTGTATTTATATATATTACTATCACTTTTTTAAATTTAAGTGACTTATCATGGCTGTATTATCTATTAGTCACTATAGTCACTGTTCCTAGGTCTTTTGTACTTACTTTCAGAACACTTTTTTTAATCACATTCGTTGGAAAGTCTGTAAGCCTTCTAATTGTTGTTTTCACTTAGTTTATAGAGTGAACCAACTCTTATAATTTTTAATTAATATTTCGTTGTGATCTTTTAAAATAATTTATGCATATTTAGAAATCATATTTTTTAAGAATAAAAGTAGTAAAAATTTTTTTTTATTTAAATGTAAACAGTTTTTAGCACTTTTCTTACCAAAATTATAAATGGGTCGATAAGAATTGTATGACCAGTATTATTCAAGTTATCCCGTAGGAGGGTTTGTAAGGATCACAGGCTTAACAACCCAACGGACCCTAGTTATCTCAGTGGATATAGCTACACTAATCACTACTCTTAGCCGGTCATGACTTTGATTAGTTGGAACCGATAGGCCTGCGCATACCTTTTGCTAACAGTGAATAGGTCCCTCTAACCCAGCTATACCAAGTAAAAGGGTTGCTAACTTGTCACAGAGTAGTTAGCTGAAATGTAAAGTGACAATTGAAATCCTGTTGGATTTAGTAATGACACTTGGCACACCATATAGTATAAAGCCTATTAATGAATCAAGCTCTGCTGTGATGGACCTTTATTTCTCGACTACTCGTGGGTACTATATGGATAAAAACATAAAAACTCACAAAACAACGAACTTAGGACAAACAGGGATCCTTCAGACAACCTGTCAGAAAAAGAGCGTGAACTAACGGATCTCTGTAAAAGAATCGTTAAAATTGAAAGTTTCAATGTGATTAACGGGTCTTTTAGTGTAACTTTTAATAGCACAGAGATGATGACAGCAGAGGCAAACCAGAAATTCCAAAACCAACTGAGAGCAGTTGATGTAATGGTCGAAGGATTAATTTAACATTGACAAATTAAATAAAGTAAATTAATTGACTTGAAAATTTCATATTTTTAATTTGGATGCATAGCTAAAAAGCAATCGGTTTTACTCTGCGGTTTTTTTTGTCCGCATACTGAAAAGATTTTGCTCAGCAATATATCGAAAAGTAACAAAACAAGTCCAGTTTTGAAAATATCTTTTCAGTCAGAATAAAGAAAAATGTCTCAAAATATTACAGCTGTTAAAAAAAAGGTAGTGGTAATATCTCTTTATAGAAGAATCGTTAAAATTGAAAATCTCAATATGATTAACGGCACTTTTAGTGTATCTTTACTAGCACAGAGATGATGACAGCAGAGGCAAACCAGGAGTTCCAAGACCAACTGAGAACAGTTGATGAAAGGATCGAAGAACTAATTTAACATTGATAAATTAAATAAAGTAATGTTAATTGACTTGAAATTTTCATATTTTTAACTTGGATGCATAGCTGAAAAGCAATTATTTTAAAAAAAAGGCACTGGTAAAATCTGCATTTCCATCTGACTTGACATCGTTTATTTTACTTTAAAAAAGTGTGACTACTATTTAACATGCTCGCATTAATACACTTGAATCTACAAACACAAANTATTTAACATGCTCGCATTAATACACTTGAATCTACAAACACAAAATTTAATAAATTTAATGCTGATGGTTATAGAAAATTATATACTTCAAAATATTGGCACAAATTGTAACAAAAGAGCAAGAATAATATTTACGGTAATTATATATTTCATATTTAAATGTTAGATATTTTGAAAAATAGTTCAATAGTTTAAAATTAATAAAAATAAAGTCTGAGCACAGACATCTTTTATTTATACACCTTATTATATTTTAAATAATTCGTGTAAGAAAAATCGTACGATGGATGTATGATTATTATGTTATCATCGTTTATAGTATTTATTCAATAGTAATTAAAAAATTTGTAAAATTAATTTAATATTTTTAATGCTTTAAATAAAATTGTTTCTTTCTATAACAAAAGATTTAAAAGTGGATGTTTTTAGATTTTTTACGGTAAAAAAAATGAAGATCATATCATTACAATTATTAAGTTTAATGGTAAGAACTATCACACATTTATCTTAATTAACTATTTATGTATGATTCCTGATCACAATATATAAGTGACAGATTAAGCTATTCGTTTTAAGCACTAATTTGTAGGCTTAAAGACTTTGCAGCAAAAGTAATTCTTAAAATGAGTGAAAAAGACCGACTAACAGCAGTGGTATGTGTTACTACGCCTACTGACTTAAGTCAGTTTGGATATTAACTTGAGTTATTTAAGATTTTAAAAAAATTAAAAAAAGTTTTACTACTTTAATTATTAAAAACAATAGCACAGTGGAGTCGTGGCATAGTTAAGTATGCATGATATTATAAAAACATTTCAATGCAAATCTGTAGTTTTTAATTTTAAAATATTGGTGGATTATTCCAAAAGCAAAATTAACTTCTATTTTTTGTTCAACTTCAACTGCCATTTGCACATAGAAAATATGTCATCGGGATAATTTTTTTCTTTTTTGACTTGTAATACATAACATAAGCTTTAATTTAATATGTATATAAATGACGCAGTACATCTGGAACATTTTCAAAAGTTGAGTTAAAAAATGTCTACTTTTTATACGTATTTTCAAGTTATATGTATGACAGAAGAAAATGCTGATTTTTTTTTTAAATATTAGTTATACGTTAGGTCTATAGCTATATCTCAATAATTAATTTTATTACATTTTATTAAAAATATTAATTATTTTAAAATTTTAAATAAAAAGTAAAAAAAAAATCTAAGATAGCTATTTTGTAGAGTAGAATTTAAGAAAAATTTTAGTAAAAAAATATCTTATTAATATTCAGTAGTAAATATTCTGTAGCGTTTTGAAGTTTGTAAAAATTTGAATTTTCATGTACTATTTTACGGTTATAAACATTGAAATACGTATTGAGAAAAGGACAGAAGAAAACGCTATCTTTTCATGATTACTGTGTATACATATGATGATAGTGTGTATACATTACAAACTTGGCATAAATACCATGATAAGAAATTAGATAAGGCAATTATTACTTATCACTCTCATTCAAAAGTATATTGAAAAGATAGCGTTTTCTTCTGTCCTTTTCTCAATACGTATTTCAATGTTTAATACCGTAAAATAGTACATGAAAATTCAAATTTTCACAAACTTCAAAACGCTACAGAATATTTACTACTGAATATTAATAAGATATTTTTTTACTAAAATTTTTCTTAAATTCTACTCTACAAAATAGCTATCTTAGATTTTTTTTTTACTTTTTATTTAAAATTTTAAAATAATTAATATTTTTAATAAAATGTAAAAAAATTAATTATTGAGATATAGCTATAGACCTAACGTCTAACTATTATTTAAAAAAAAAATCAACTAAAAATATTAACTGGATCAAAAGTTATTTAAGTTGTCAGTGAGTGGTGGGCCACCCTGTATATAAAGTGTTTAGAATCAAACAATTTTGTTGATTCATACATTTTTCATTAAGTTACAGCAATTTAAAGTTGAAAATATAAAATTAAAAATGTTATCACAATAATAACACGTTTTAAATTACGGCAGCCGATTGTACGTAGAAGATAAGTCGTCGGGACAAATTTTATTTTTTAATTTATAATACAAATCATAAGCTTTAATTTATTTTATGTTTAAAACATGCATTATTTCCGACACATTTTCAAAAGTAAATTTGAAAAAATTGAATTTTGTAAAAAATTACTATTTATAGAAAAATTTTCAGAGTAGCTCAATATTTTTTTTCATTTTTATCGTAATAGATAACTTAAATAGAAATAATAGTAATCATTTCCAAGTAACTTTTGGTGTTTAAAAAGATTCTGCAATTGAAATATTCAATAAATAATAAATATATAAATAATTTTAATGATTTACTTTAACTAAATAAACCAATCAAAACAAAGTTGTTAAAAAGATTGACTCAATTGAGCGTATTATAAAATTTGATTATAATTGTAGAAATCCATTGTTAATTCAGGAGAAACTAACTATCATTTTTTTTAGAAATGATTTATATAGAAACATGTTACCAAAAAAATTGGAATATTATAGTCTAGTAGTATCACACACAAATAGAGTAAAAAATTAATAAATTACAAAATAAAATGATTTAATTTTGTAATTAAAACCTATCATATCAAAATTGATACGTCCATAAATACTTTGAAAACATTAAAAATGAATGATTTTAATTGTTTGTATGGAGAACATGGGATAAGTATATGTTTTATTAATAGATTAGATTTTTTTTTAATTATTGAGGGTAATATCTTCAATTTAGCTTATTGTAATCATTTGACTTTGACGTATCGTTAAAAAATGTTGGTCAAGTTAGAGCAGAGAAAATAAATGATAGTCACAAAAAAATATCTTTTCAGCTTTGCATCGAAGCTAACACTTAAAATATAGTAAAATAATTTTAATATGAATAAGAAATTTCTTCTCGCATAGAGCGACTAAAGTGATGGGATCCTTGATCTTTATTGGAGTTATTGATTCTAAAGGAGATAAATATCAAAGAAGTTGAATATTTATTCTAACTTAAAAAGAATTAAAAAAAAAAATGTAAATATTCCTTGTCATAGGTGGGTTGGAACCTTGTACCCCAAGCGTGTAAAACACAAGTTTTACCGACCGGCAATCGTACGTCGCTTAAATCGACTATAAAAAAGCAAAAAAAAGTTAAATAAGTTTAACTTTCTATGCTATATCAATTTTATTTATATAATATTTATGAAAATCTATGAATTCCCCTTGTCAGTTATTTTAAAATATAATAAAATACAAAACCCAGAATTTTAACACAAAAATAGCATATTTTTGAATACGGTAGTCATTTTTACCATGAAGATAAATCCAAAGGTCAAATTTTTTTTTCAAATTAAAGTATATTACATAAGCTTTAATTTAAGATACATATAAAAGTGACAGTATTTCTGAAACACTTTCAAATATTAAATTGAAAATGTCTTAGTTTCAATAAAGGGGTATGATCCGATTTACAAAAAAAGTGTGTCAGATGAAAGGTGTATATAAAAACCCAGCACAGTGAGGTGGCGGCACAGTGGGGTCGTGGCATAGTTGGGTCCAGTATAGATGATATCTGACAGTGATTAAAATCAATATCATAAAAAACGCTTCGATACAAATCTGTAGATAGTGTTTAATTAAAAAAAAAAATTTGTCAAAAAAGTAGGTCAAATGAGAGCTGAGAAAATAAATGATGGCTACAAAAAAAAACCACATAGTAAAATAATATTAATATGAATTTCTTCTCACGAGAGGAGACTACAGTAATGGAATCCTTCATATTTATTGAAGTTATTGAATCTCAATGAGATAAAAATCAAATGAGTTAAACATTTTTTTTTAACTCAAAAAGAATTTAAAAAAAATTCAGTGCCACAGTCGTGAAAGACCCAAGTGTTACCGTCTCAAAAACCGTACGTCTCATTCGTTACTTAATAAAAATGGAAATTTAGCTAGTTCAAATTTTAAAGTTATTCTTCTCGACTTCAAAGAAAAAAAAAATTTAAATATAATTAATTTTTTATACTATGTCATTTAGATTGATATAATATTTATGAAAATCAGTGTAATCCCGTTATAATAAGATAAAATAAAAAACCAAGAATTTTAACACAATAATAGCATATTTTTGAATACGGTAGCCATTTGTGCATAGAAGATAGGTCGTCGGGACAAATTTTTTTTTTCATTTTGTAGTATATATAATAAGCTTTAATTGATATATGTTTAAAGGACACAGTATTTCCGGAACATTTTCAAAAATTAAGTTGAAAAAGTTAGTTTTTGTAAAAAAGTTGTTATTTTAAATCCCCCTTGTGAGCAGAATAAATAAGGAAATTACCTAAAATTTAAAAAAAAAAAAAACATCATGGTAAAATTAATACCTTCTCAGCTTCGCATCGAAGCTAAAAACTTTATTATAAAAAAATAATAATATTGATCCATAAATTTTCCCAAAAATTATAGCAATATAAATTTAATAGTATAAAATATAAAATCGAGAATTTTTTCATGGAAATCGTAAGTTTATCTTTAACTTTGATGTCCGTATGCACCATGAAGACAAGTCCAGAGGTAAAATTTTTTTTATTCAAATTAAAGTATATTACATAAGCTTTAATTTAATATATATATAAAAGTGTCCTTAGGTGAATACCTAAGGTATATTAATTCGGTCATTTTAAAAAAAGTTATGGCAATGTTTAGTAAAAAAAATTAGCGATTTTTCAATTTTTAACTTTTTGAGGGATTTCCCCCGTTTACGGGGAATGAGAGAACTGTTTTTAAATTTTGAGGATAATGTCTTCGATTAAATACAATTTGTCTAGGGAGAGCTGAGATTGAGCGTTCATAGTCCCTCCCAAAAAAAAACACATCGTAGTAAAATTTATACTTTATCAGCTTTGCATCGAAGCTAAAAATATGATTTTTAAAAATCCATAAATTATTTTAAAAGATCACAACTAAATGTAAATTGTATCGAAAGTTATAAGAGTTGGTACACTTTATTTATGAGTTTTAGGAACGGATTAAGTTATTCAGGAACAGTGCCTATAGTGACATAATAATTTATATATAAAAATATAAAACTAATAAGTATAATGAACATTATTTTGAGTAAATTTCTATAAATTTAGTACTATTTATAAACAGTTTCATTAAACAACTATACTATTATATATTGCTGAGAAATTAAATTATCCCCAAATCAATTTTGTGTCTTTGATCTCTACGTATATACATAAATAACTCAATATTTACCAAAATATTTTGTCAACACAAATTATCCATGTAATTCTAACTTAATAATTTATAATTAGATCATACAACGAAATTTCACCATAGCTCTAGTTATTTTATATCGTATAATTGACTTGCTTGAATTTTTAAATTAAAAACAATTTAAGATTATTAATAATTTTTATATAAATAAGTAATAATATAAAAAAAGACCTGATTTTTTTATTGTTATTTACAGAGATTGATGTACATTATTTCAGCTCAAAATTGGAGGACAGATGTAGGAAAATATTTATTAAAATCTCAATTGCCACGTATTTTTCTTCATAATTGTTTTCACGTTAAACGTGTTGGACTTTACTTAATTAATGGAAATGGTAAATATTTTATATAAATAATGTACTATGCTAAACGCTAGATTTTGATTAGTTAAAAATTGATTAGTTATATATTTTTCAAGAATATTGATTTGAACATTTTAATAATTGCAGGTGAAGTATTGACCGGGGATATTATTTTATTAATTTTTGATCACATTTTATCATTGAAAGAAAATGAAAGCACTATGGAGGATTACATTAATACAGTTGGACGTGAAGTATGTGAATGGCAAAAGGAAGATAAGAATTGTTTGGATAGATCTAAAGTTTGTTTAGTAGGATTACTAAAATACCTTAAAGAAAATCCAAATGTAAGTTTTTTAAAAACACAAAAATATAAGTTCATTATATAAATAAGTTTTCCAAGGAATGGATGGAAATAAACATTTAATTTAAGGCGGAATCATTTTATTAAGCCATTTATATTCTACATTAATTATATTTATTTTTTGCTCATCAAATGTTACAGCCATTTCACAAAAACTTGGGTCAGTCTTAATTCAGTTCAGACTTATTTTATGGATTCATTTATTCAATTTAAAAATTAGCTTTTATAACAATTTATGATAGTGTTTCAATTACCATCAGATTTAAGTCAATATAATATCAACTATGTTTTGCTCTATTTATGATAAGGCCTAGTTGTATCGGGATATTTATATATTAAATTTCTTTTTTTTTGCAGTATCTTCCATATGAAATGAATACACAAGATTTCAATTTTCTTGACATATCCTGTAATAATGATGAATCAATTAAAAATAATCCTTCTTTAGAAGAAATACCATATTTTGAGGATTGTGAACATAAAATTCACGTATTTAATGAACATGATAGACAAATTTGGAATTCATTTAAAAAAAAAAAATAATTAATTACTAAATGAACATAATACATATGTTCGGAATTCAACTAAAGAAATTTAATAATCTATTAAATTAAAGGTCATGTGTCAAATAGAAACAGAACTTTATTTAAAAGTTTAATTATAAAAATTCAACTAGTTTACTAATTTTAATTTAATTTATCACTTCAATCAATGTTGTTTAAAATATAATAATGTGAAAAATATTAATTTATGTATTAAATTTGATATCTTAAATAAACATAATAATTCAAATACTTTTTCAGTATCTATTGTTTTAGCTTCTATAGGAAGATGAGAAGGTATTATTTTACTATAATGTGTTTTTTTTTCGTCTGTTACTACTTTTTCTCAGCTCTGACCGAGAGAAATGAAGGAAATCTCTAAAAAAATTATAAATTTAAAAATCTTTAAATTTCGACATTTTTTTAATTTTTTTTACTTAAAACTACTATAACTTTTTTAAAAATGATTAAATCAACATATTTATTTTTTTTAGATACATGAGATATTTACCTATTGTTTTGTACATTTTTTATACATCTGACCTTTTACCTAACGCGGGGGGAATTCATAATGACAGCTATTTCACCAAAAATTAACTTTTTAAACTTAACTTTTGAAAGTTGACCGAAAATACTGACACTAGTATATATATAAATCATAAATTAAAGCTTATGTAATATATACTTAATTATAAAAAAAAAATTCGAACATCAATTTGTCTTCGTGGTAAAAATGTCTACCGTATTCAAAAATAGTACATTATTTTTGGGTTAAAATTCTTGATTTTGTATTTTATTTTATTTTAATAGACCTTGTTGCGGCGTACGTTATCATATAGTTTTAGCTTCGATGCGAAGCTGAGAAAGTATTAATTTTACTATGATGTGTTTTTTTTTTTTATTTTTTTGAAAATCTAACACTTATTCTGCTCACTGGGGTGATTTAAAATAGTAACGTTTTTACAAAAAATAACTTTTTTCAACTTAATTTTTGAAAATGTTCCGGAAATACTGTGTCCTTTTAACATATATCAAATTAAAGCTTATTTTATGTACTATAAAATGAAAAAAAAATTTGTCCTGACGACCTATCTTCTATGCGCTAATGGCTACCATATTCAAAAATATGCTATTTTAACAAATTTTTTTTTTTAATTAAACACTATCTACAGATTTGCATCGAAGCGTTTTTTATGATAGTGATTTTAATCACTGTCAGATATTATCTATACTGGACCCAACTATGCCACGACCCCACTGTGCAGCCACCTCACTGTGCTGGGTTTTTTTCATTTGATAGTATATAACATAACCTTTGATTTGATATATGTCTAAAAGACGCAGTATTTCCGGAACATTTTCAAAAGTTCAGTTGAAAAAGATCTATGTTTTTTACAATATTTCAAGTTTTGAACGCCCCCTATATAAGGGGAAATTGTCCAATTTCAATAAAAAGTATGTCAAATAAAAGATGTATTTATAATGTATTTAGAAAAAAAAAATTTGTGCTGATATATACATTTTTCAAAAAGTTATAGCATTTTTAAGTTGAAAATTTAAAATCGAAAATCGAAAATTTTAACACAAAAATAGTGTTTTTTTAACTACGGCAGCCGTTTAAATGTAGAAAAAAAAGTGTCGGGACAAATTTTTTTTTTTCATTTTATAGTACATAAAATAAGCTTTAATTTGATATATGTTTAAAGGACGCAGTCTTTCCGGAACATTTTCAAAAATTAAGTTGAAAAAATTAATTTTTGTAAAAAAGTTGCCATTTTAAATCCCCCCCAATGAGCAGGTTAAGTGATAGATTTTCAAAAAAATGATATCAAATGAAAGGTAAATATCTAAGGTTTTAGTATAAAAAAAAATTATGTTGATTTGTTGATTTTTCAAAAAGTTATGGAAGTTTTAAGAAAAAAAAGTGAAAAAATTTCGAAAATTAGCGATTTTTAAATTTGTAATTTTTTTGGATATTTCCCCCATTTGCGGGGAACGAGAGAATTTTTTCCAATTTTTAAGGGTAATGTCTTTAACTAGATTCGATTTGTGATCTTTTGACGTATTTTTGAAAGAAATCGGTACAGTGAAAGCTGAGAAAAAGTGGCAACAGACATAAAAAAAAAAAAAAACACATCATAGTAAAATTAATACCTTCTACGCTTCGCATCGAAGCTAAAATAAATATTAAAATATTAAAAATCAAGCTGTATGAATTTAATTTTCAAAATATTTATTTATTTATGTTATTACAATAAATTGCAAACAATCGTAAAACATAAATGTTCATCGAACAATACCTAGAAAGCCGTATATTACATTAACTTTAATTTAAGATATATATATATAAGTGTCAGTCTTCCCGGAACATTTTCAAAAGTTAAGTTGAAAAAGTTAATTTCTTGTAAAAAAGTTACCATTTTGAAACCCTTCCTGTGGGCTATTAAAGGGTTAAATGTTCACAAAAATACAGTACAGTGAAATCTGAGAAAAAGTGGCAACAGACATAAAAAAAAAAAAAAATAAAAAGCAAAAAAAAATTTGTCCCGACGACCTATCTTCTATGCGCAAATGGCTGTCGAAAATTAAAAAAAAAATGTAATGTGTGCGATAAAAATTACCTTTTATCGGGATGTTTTTTGTACTTAAAACTGCCATAACTTTTTCAAAAATAAACAATTAAAAATAATATTTTTTTGTATTGAAACCTTAAATATTTTCCTTATATTTGATATAATTTTTTTTGAAAATCTAACACTTATTTTGCTCACTGGGGGGATTTAAAATAGCAACTTTTTTACAAAAATTAAATTTTTCAACTTAAATTTTGAAAATGTTCCGGAAATACTGCGTCCTTTAAACATATGTCAAATTAAAGCTTATTTTATGTACTATAAAATGAAAAAAAAATTTGTCCCGACGACCTATCTTCTATGCGCAAATGGCTATCATATNTTTGTCCTGACGACCTATCTTCTATGCGCAAATGGCTATCATATTCAAAAATATACTATTTTAACAAATTTTTTTTTTTAATTAAACACTATCTAAAGATTTGCATCGAAGCGTTTTTTATGATAGTGATTTTAATCACTGTCAGATATCATCTATACTGGACCGTTTTTTTAATTAATATATTACTTTTTAATAACAATAATTTATTACTAACACATACATTTATGACTTGCTAATTTAATTTATTTTATGTGAATTTATCTAAGTAATTCATTAAAACTATACAAATAATTTAATTACACAAATTCTAAAAAAATGTATTTACAATTGCATACATGTTAAATTAAAAATTATTAATACACTTTAAAACAACAATACATAAATTTTCAAAAATAAAGTGTTACATATATTTTATTTTATTTATTCGTTTTAAGATTAATTGATATAATTTATAATTTATGTTACATATAAATAAATAATAAATTTAATAAGATTTTAATTTTTAATTGGAAAAAATGACACCCTAGGTCACGGTCTACTCCTAAATATGCCACTGTTTTGAAAAGTTGTTAACATAACAAACATATAATTTCATGAATAATTTTCACAAAAAACTTAAGGTAAATTTTCAAAAGATGGTTTATTACGAGGTGCAAGAATGCAACCAACAAAATAGTTGTTACGCGTATTATAATTTTTAATTAATATTACTGAGTAATCATAATATAATATTATATTTCAATTTATTTAACATATTAACTGAAAAACGGAAATTAATTTATTGTAGTGAATATAATATTTTAATATTTTGTACTTTTCTTTTAGACAACGTAATATTTAAAACATAAATATTACTTTTTTCTGCATATGTTCAAACAATAGGGGTAAAAATCCTCTATAAATAAATAATTATATATACAATGTACATATGAATGAGATTTATACAGACTTCAACTTATGTTGACACCAATAACTATATAAGCCCATACATTTTATTATTTATTAATTGGGTCATAAAATAGACCAAACAATTATTAGCTAAAATTTTAACCATAATGTAACTCTTATCTTAATAATGTTTGATCGAGTCATTCGGAAATTAACTTTTCTTTAGTGGTTGTGTATTTCCTCCGAGCATCATTCATTACTTACTACCATATTTTATTATATTTATTTTATTATTGTGAATTAAATTTATGAACTATATCAGTTTTATTTTCTTTAAGATAAGTAAAAAAAAATGTATACTTCAAATAAAAACAAATACTTAGATATACAATTTTATTTTAATAATTAATTAGATTATTCATAATTATATAACATCTTATAAAACTACAATTACAAAATTATAATTATTTTTAATTAAAAATTTTTTATTCAGAAATTATGACAGACAAAAAGAAAAGAACACAGCCTATGTCACTCCAGCAAAAGGAATCTCTTGTTGACTTTGTCAAAAGTCATACAGATTTAGAAAGGGGAAAATTCAATGACTCCTTTTCATCCAAACATGCCCAATCACTGTGGGAGGAATGTTCCCTAATCTTAAATAACCAAAATGGATCTACTAAGGATTGGCAGGGTTGTCGGAGGGTAAAAATAATTCTTGCTTATAAATAATTAAATTAATTAATTTCTAAATATTATCACAATAGCAACTTTTGATAATAGGAAATAAAATATATCTTAAAGCATATTTACTTAGATATACTAATCAGATAAAATATAATAAAATTGAAGCCTATAAATTAATAGAATTAAGTAATAATACATTAATTAAAAATCTATTAAGATTTCTATATTGTTATGAATAATTTAATGTAAAGTGAATTAATTTTCAATAATATATTTAGCCTAATATAAGCTTATAAACTTTTTAAATTAAAAAGGAGTTATATTAATGAATTTTAGATATTCTAAGAGGCTAATATATTATAGGACTTTAAGATAGTATTGATTATTCAATTTTCAATTACCTCAGGCAAAAGTATTCATTGACCACAATAAATTATAAATATTTTTCAACATTTTGAAGAAAATGTTCGCAAAGTATTTACAATACTTACAATATGTAAAATATATTATATTTTATTTTATTAAAATTGATTATATTTTGTTAGGCTTGGTCGGACATAAAGACCAATATAAAAAAAAAACAATCAGCAGTTAACCGGGAACAAAGGCTTACTGGGGGCGGTTCAATAAAGGCTAAACACTGTCTCAAAAAGAAGCTCGTGTGATGAGCTCAATAGGCGTCGTTCCCTTAACAAGGGATCCTAATATGGTCGATTCCATTGTCCCACCATTTGATTTCACAGAACCATCTTGTTCTTACACCTGTGATTCAAATAGTATGTAAGTAAAAAAACTTAAATATTAACAGTGTTTATTATTAGTACACAGTACTTTTTATATCTATTTTAAGGTTTCATAGTGAATCTATCTCTGTCTTGGCTACTACACCCCTTTCATAATCAACAGAAGCTGAAATTTTAACCCAAGAATCGGGTAAATCAATAGGTGGGATTAAACGCCCAAACCTTAGACAGAAGTTTTAAACCTATGTGATAATTTTGTTATTTAATCAAGTCATATTATCAGTTATTTTAAAATTATAATCAGTTGTATGAAATAAAAATATTATATTTTATTGAATTTTAAATCTTACAAGTTTATGATAATAAGTTTTTTTTTATTTTATATAAATTAATTTAAAAAACAAGGAAAAATATTAACAAATCAAACAAATATGTATTTCCACTTTTGCCTCTATATAATAAATATAATTTGTTATCATCATTGTTAATATTGTAAGCTTCGATTTCTTCATTAGATAATTTCAATCTCAGGATAAACACAGTTATATTGTTGAATAAACAACCAACAACGACAACCCCATTTGGTGTGCTTGTATTTTTCATAGATATGACTTTGTATGACTTTAATATTAAAAATATTTTAATATCTCTTTAATTTTATCATCACTACTATTTTAATTAATTTTTTTTTCTAATAAATAAATAATTTATTTCATTTTTGATTAAAGCTACTTCCGCGACATCTGTTTCGTCACATCAGGCGGCTAAGCGTAGTAGGGCCAACAACAGCGCGGTTAGGTCGAAAAGGTTACTTATGCAATTGACGGATACCCGTGATTTCACCGAGATCGATTCCGCATTGGAGCGGAGAGCCATTTGGTTTTAAAGAAAGAACGTGGAAAATTTCGCGAGCTATCGAGATTTTCTGCGCGCCGTTAAACCTGAGCTGGAGGCCAGAACTCGCTGATATCGTAGGTAACCGTCCGATCAAGTATAATATCAAATTGGAGGCCTCATACCATATACCTCGATCAGAAGGCACCGTCCGAAGACCGTGCCTTCAAGACACGGGCTAGGGCATTGCTATCCGATACGGATATCGGGTGTGCGGTCGATGAAGATTTTGAGGTTATGCTTGCCGAGGAAGACGCGTACTCGGGTAGGGGTAGCGGATTTACGCTAACGCATATCGACGGCCTTATGCTCAGCGTATACAAGTATACGCCCCTCTCCGGCTCATCATATATTCCTGTCCCACCAGAGATTAATCAAAGAAAAGCAATCATCAATCCACAGAATATCGATCAGTCTTGTTTCAAGTGGTCCATTTTGGCAAGACACGTTAGCGGGAGTAATAAATATCGCGTTAATGAAAAATATTTTAACGAGGAACACAGGTATGATTTCACGGGGTTGACGTTCCCCACACCTGTGTCCCAAATTAAAATATTTGAGCGACGAAACCCTAACGTGTCTGTCAACGTGTACGGCTTGGAACGAGACGACGTTAAGATGAAGTGGTTGGTGTATCCTCTAAGAGTCGCCGACCAAGAGCAACAGAATCATTTTGACCTGTTGTACATCGGTGACTCTGACAAGTATCATTACTCGTACATTTCGGATTTTTCGAGGCTCGTGCGCAGCCAAAAAACTCAGCATCATGGCCGCATATACACTTGTAAACGTCGCTTCACCAGTTTTGATGATATGCCTAAAAAGCATATTCTTCGGGGTCAACAAGCGTTGGAGCAACACAAGTTGATATGCGGCAAAAATAAACCAATTTTACCAGTTATGCCGGCAGAGGGCAGTAAGGTTGAATTTGACGCGTGGGTAAAGACGCAACGGTTACCTTTCGTCATCTACGCCGATTTTGAGGCCTTACTAGAGAAAACAGACGATCATATTATATCGTATCATAATATACAATTTTTAAAATCGGTAAATTTCATTCTTTTTTCTCAAAATAAGCATAACTTTTTCAAAAATTAACAAATCAACGTAATTTTTTTTATATTGAAACCTTGAATATTTGCCTTTTATTTGATATAATACTACCTTATTGAACAAAATAATTTTGTACATTTTGTATAACGCAGATTTCTTTCCATTAATGAACCTTTTGGTAAGGCTAATGACATAAATATTTCATCATTCAATGTTGGGGTATAAATATATAAATGCAGAAGTTTAGGACAATTAGAACTCTTTACTTTTAATCATGAAAGCAGTTTCAATAAAGCCTGTATAGTACCAAATACACTACACAATGACGTGGAGAACTTTGTAGTTTTTAAAATATTGCATACATGAAATACTTAGTGATATGAATAAAACATTTTTACCTGTTAACGTAATCCTTAGTTTATTAAACATAAGGTCCACTATTTACAATCGTTATATTAACTGCATTATACACCATCTATTAATTAGTTGAACCATAATTAGTTATTAAATAATACAAAATATATATATATATAAACCATCAACAGCTTTAAAATACATCGTGGATTTAGTGTTTACAAACATATAATCCAAAATAATGGACACTGGGTGTTTTATGTTTGACTGGATTTTTCAGTTAATAATATTGTATCAAATTTGTGATACTATACTTGTACTTAATTTAATTATCTGCTTTTTAAAAAATGTACTTAATACAACTTTTTACAATTAAGCAGCTATTGGTATAAAAAATTGTCAAATTAAATGTAATAAAATAAAACACAATACACATATTATTATTATAAAGGTCGCAGTATAAAATAAAAATGAAAATAATAATAATAGCGATCATAGTAAAATGAATAAGAAGTATGCTTGATCATAGTCAACATTTTCGTCGTAATACGCGCATGTGCATCGCCTTGTGTTTTTGTACATTCGTTTAAGATCGGTGAATACAATCGCTGCCGAATGCACTTTAAAATCGCGCGATTTATAAATTGATAATTCTGATATAATATATATGAAAGACATAATTATTAAATAATAATTATATTAATTATTTAAAAACAATGCATTGTAATATTATTTTATAACAAGTTTAATCGTGGATACCTATTTTAGATTTTATATATTTTTATTTTGTAACTTTTTTATTTTAATCAAAAATTAGAGTTTTGTACCTTGTTAATTAAACGTGAGCTGTATTAACTAATAGACTTGTTTTTTCATGTTCTAAAATTGAATTAACACCACTTTAAAATGTTAATAAAAGTTCTTATTATTTGCATGAAATTGTAATATTTTATTAATTTCTCTTTTGTGTGTCTCATAGTAGAGATTTGTAACTTTTTAACTTATACTTAAGTATTTTTGCTTCGATGCGAAGCTGAGAAGGTTTAACTTTCAAAATATTTATTGACGAATCAAGTTTGATGTGATAGAATTCAACTACAAAATTAAACATTTTACCTTGTAATTTCATAATATATTTTCTCTATTTGTGTGTTTGCTACTACTAGATTATAATATTCCAAATTTTAGCTTCGATGCGAAGCTGAGAAGGTATTAATTTTACTATGATGTGTTTTTTTTTAATTTTTTAATTTTTTTTGTGTCTGTCACTACTTTTTCTCAGCTCTCACTGTACCGATTTCTTTCAAAAATACGTCAAAAGATCACAAATCNTGTCTGTTGCCACTTTTTCTCAGCTCTCACTGGACCGATTTCTTTCAAAAATACGTCAAAAGATCACAAATCGTATCTAGTTGAAGACATTACCCTTAAAAATTGAAAAAAATTCACTCGTTCCCCGCAAATGGGGGAAATATCCAAAAAAATTACAAATTTAAAAATCGCTAATTTTCGAAATTTTTTCACTTTTTTTTCTAAAACTTCTATAATTTTTTGAAAAATCAACAAATCAACATAATTTTTCTTATACTAAAACCTTAGATATCTACCTTATATTTGATATCAGTTTTTTGAAAATCTATCACTTAACCTGCTCATTGGGGGGGGTTTAAAATGGCAACTTTTTTACAAAAATTAATTTTTTCAACTTAATTTTTGAAAATGTTCCGGAAAGACTGCGTCCTTTAAACATATATCAAATTAAAGCTTATTTTATGTACTACAAAATGAAAAAAAAAA